CACTGGCATCCAAGTACTATATCAGTCGCCTTCAATGGCAAGGCATATAGATCCACTCTCATCTTTTGACCTTGAGCCTCCATCTTTACACCCTTGAAGAGAATATCCCCTGGGAGTGTTTCTCCGTTTGCTACTTTGACTCCAAAAGGTTTTACCTTGGTGAATAGAATCTCAATTTCTTTGGACAGCTCCTCGTCAATGAAGTTTAGCGTTGACCCACTATCAACCAAAAATTCCACCAATTTGCCCCTAATTTCAGTCGTGAATGTGATCATCTTTGGACCACGTTTCTTGCTCTTAATCATATGCAACAAGGACTCCTCCTGTGGTTCTTCCTCTTTGCAATCCTCCCCAATTTCTAACAAAAATACTTCCTTACCCTTGCACTTGTGGCCTGGTGTGAATTTTTCATTGCACGAATAGCAAAGGCCTTTTTCTCGTCGTCGCTGCATCTCTTCATCAGTTAAATGCCGTATGTTGCTCGTTGTTCGAACAGCCTCGCCCAACGGCTTGTTCTCGGCTCTCGCCGCTGGTTCCTCAGTCGCGGAGTGCATGCGTTTGGTCTCTGTGCGCACGTCGCTCGGCCTGGCCTTGCGTACTTCCATCAGATGATCCTCATGTAGTCTCGCCGAATCCATGGCTGTTCGCATCGATCCTGGCCTATCCAACCTTACTTCTGCTGCTAACTCAGCTTTAAGTCCTCCAACAAACTTCCCTACTAGCGCACTCTCGGGCCAATCTCGCACCCTACTAGCAATGCGCTCGAACTCCTTTTGATACTCCCTTAGGCTCCCCACTTGCTTAATTCTAGACAAAGCCTCATTGTAATCGTGGTAGTCACTCGAGCCAAACCTTCTAATGAGCTTTTTTTCAAAATCCCTCCAACGCATGTGCTCACCTTGGTTCTTGTGCAACACCCATTGCCACCATACGTTTGCTTCCCAATTAAGATGATAAGCAGCAATTCGAACTCTCTCATACCTTGGCACGTCATTGATCTCAAAGAATTGTACAGCTCGACTCAACCATGCGTCCAGATCTGTTCCCGTGAACATGGGCATAATGATCTTTGGTTTTGTGGATGCCCGTTCCTCGCGTTCGTGTCGTCGGTCGTTGCGCCCATCGTGTCGTCGCTCTTCGCGGCATCTGTGGTCGCGTAGCTTGTCGCGTGTGGCTCGTGACGCATACGATGCGTACGACTGCTGGTCGTAATCCACGTCGCGCCTTCGGTTGTGATGCGCGTGACCGTCCTGCCATCGTCGATCGTCGTGGTGGTGATCCGCGCGCGATGCGCGTGTGCCCCTCGATCGGTGATCGTCCTCGTGTTCGGTCCCGGTGCTTTTTGTCGTGGACTGCGACCCGTGACGTCTCCTTGGCCGTGTGTTCATGCGCGTAAGCTGCCCGGCCAAGTCTTGGACCATCAGCTCAAATCTTCCTAAGTTCTCGTTGGTAGCATGTTGACCATCACCAATGATCTTCATGTTGTCTTCCAACGCTTGAATTCTCTCACGGTTTGACATCATAAATCTCTTTTTTTTTTACTCTAAAAATTCGAAATCAAATTCGAACCAAAATAAAAAATAAAACAAAGAGAAATTCGGCCCCTCAACAAAAGGTAATAACCGAACAAAAATCAAACAAAGGACTAACAAGATGACACTTTTTTTTAAGACTTAAATTCGAAAAATAAAAGGGAAAATTCGAACCAAAATTCGAATCCCAACAAAAAATAAAGAGAAATTCGGCCCCTCAGCAAAAGACAAACCAAAAAAAAAGAAAAAATATAGATAGATAACAACATGATCAACCCCTCTCAATGAAAGCACCAATGATGACGGACCGTGTTTTTATCTATACTTTGGGTTGTGAATAAACGCGCACTCAGGGCCTTCGTTTATCCACGATAGGTGTATCTAACAGACGCACTCAGGGCCTTCTCCTAGATACCGTGACTTCAAGACGCTCTAATTGTTGGAACCCATGAGGATCTCGATATGCACAAATCACGGACAATCATTCAACATAAACCTATGCGCAGCGGATCTAAAGGTTTGATGAAGAAAACTTACTGCTTAAAATTTATGTAGATCTGGCTGGCCCGAACAGTTGACCGCAAATCAAATCTTCTCGGAATCGAACAAACTTGACCAATCCAGAAAGCTGACGTCACGGCGAAGTCAACGACGTTGACCGATCAGAAATCGGAGCTTCCACGCGCGCGAGTGACTCCCAGTAGCAGCGAACTCCCGGCGGCGCGTGTGGGCGCGTGCGGCGGCGTGCGGCGGCGATC